CCACAGAACTCCTCGTGAACCGAGAGATTGTAGGAGTTGCGGAGCGCAGCCCGAGGAGGAAGGAGCACCCTTCCAAACCAACTGGAAAAAAAATTCTGGGAAATCTGCATTCAAATACAGTTCCTGGAAAGCTTGTCCCTTGCTCTTTTCAACTGAAAATTCAGACTTGGCCTCACGTTGGTGAGCACAGGCTGAAATTCCTTCCCCTTACTACCAGGAGGTTTGGATGCCGGCAATGAGCGCTCCTCAGGCAGGCGTGTGGTGAACGCTGTCCTCCGACCAGTTTGCTCCCTGCCCCGCTGCCTGCCTTTCCTCCAGTTAAACAGCAGAGATGGCAGCTCCCTCTCAAGGCTGCCCTGTGCCTGGGCACCTTCAGGGGACAGGGATTTCTGAGGGGAAAAGGGGGAAAAGCAGGGACGTTGCCTGTGTGTGCTGGGTGGGAGATGAACAGGTGTTTTTTGTGTGCTGTGTTTTGTTTTAGTCAATACTTACATCATGAACGCGCCGTATGTTTAACTAACTGGATTTGAGTGGTGTGCTTTGCTTACACTTTGAATTGTTTTTCCTAGGAAAGCCTGTTTAGGGAAGTAGAATCATGCTGCTTTAATTTCTCTGGTAAGCACTGGGCTTCTCTGGGACTTCTTCTCATGGTAGAAGAATTCAGTAAGCGCTGTGGCTAGCAGCCCTGAGCAAAATCAAACTAGCAAACAGTGAAGAAAAACAAATAACTGCATGTTGAGCGCACTGAGTATAGCAGGGCTGTAAGATGCTCTTGGCAGCCTGTGCCTTTCTCGTGGGCCTGTATCTGGTGTGCAGCTGTGCGGTGAGAGCTGTTGGTGTGGCTGAGCCCCCATGAACAGAGCTGGTTGTGGTGGGGTTTGGGTGGCTGTGAGGAGAGACCGGCCAGGACCTGAATCAGGAAAGAGGAGGTGGATTAATTAACACGTGCATAATGACTATTTTACATGGGAATTGAAAACAGCTATAGAGTAAAAATCTGAGTAGAGAATCAGTAAGTTAGTATGAATGAATGTGCAGCTAGAAAGGATAGAAAATAAATAGCAGCAGTAAAGCAACTTACAGGAAAAATAGAAAAAAATGTGTAATACTGTGTATACAAGGTGAAATTTTACCTATGGTGATGATTTAAGAAACCAGAAGACAAAGTTCACGTGGCACGTGTTTTAAGACCTGTCCATTGACCGATTTTTAATCTTGATACTAATTTTTAAATTTAAATTTATTGGTTACTAATGGCATTTTCCAGGTTTCTTCTAGATCTTGGATACTGGTCTTACGTGAGGAGGAATATGGCAGATGTAAATGTGGCTGTGAATTAGTTTTATATTTAAGGAGGGGAAAGCTGGGAGCTACTTTAGAAGAGTGAGGAGTCACTCACAGAAATGTGCAGTGGTGGGGTCTTTGAGATGATTTGGTGAGCAATATATGGCAATATATAAGGATTTATAAGAAAGATGCTCTGGCCCAAGCAGTCTGCATGGCCATACTTAAAGGAACTGCACATTCAGGTGCAGAGGCTGCACTAAGGTGTATCTGGTGCATGTGACAATTGCTGGCCCAGATTTTGCTTGCTGCTGTAGAACTTTGTTATATTCATGCTGCTGTATTTTAAAGCCTTTCTCATCTGGGGGCAGTGAGTGGAAACCTGAGTAATTAATGTCCTTCAGCTGCAGTGAAACCTGGTGGTGAAATACAGTTTTGCTTTGTGTGTGTAGCTCTGGTATTTTCTGGAACTGAGTTGTTTGTTCAGCTATTACATGCAAACATCTTTTACATAGGTGTGCAAAGAATCGGTTCCAAAATTGTCACTGAAGCACTGTTTTCTGTGTATAACCTGCATTAGATTGCTTTCTGCTACTGTATTCCATGGCTAGAAACACAAAATGGAACTGAATGCCTGGTAGTGAAATTGGGCAGGAAACATCATACCTGAAAATGCAGGCAATTTCCTGCCTAGCATGGGCATTTCTGATATTTTCATTGCATGCATAATCCCCTCTTCCACTGTGATGATCTTCTGAATCTTTAGGTGCTTTCATGTGCAACAGACCAAAGGTTGTGATAAATATCTTAAGTTTTTGATGTTGATCTTTCTTAATAAGAACTCAGGTTCCTGTTGCACTTACAGGGTTGTATTTCTGTTGCTAAGATGAAGATTTTTAAACATAGGCACTCTTGAAAATCTCTTATATAATTTATTCAAACCTATTTTGAACTGGTTCACATTGTACTGTTAGGAGTCCTCTTCCCTGAGCTCCCTTTTATTCTAGCTGAGAGAGTGCACTTCAGAAATGTATTTTCTTTATAGGAGTTAAACGTCCTTTAATTGACTACGCTGACATTTTCTGGCAGCTACACAGTGTGCTTTTTAATTTATTTTGTGCAACTGGAAGTAACAAAGCTTAGATTTGCAATAGCATAGGGTTTTGTTTTATTTTTTGCTTTCTCATATTTGGTGACATCCCATGTTGAGGCAACTCTGACTTCACTTGGTAATTAAACTTCATTTATGAAAGACCTTTTTCCCATTAATTTGATCCATTAAAGAAATGCTCTTTGAAGCTGGAGGTTAATCTTCCCATTTAAATTGCTGGGTTTTACCCAGATTAGTTACAGCTTAGTTTTCAACAACAGCTAAAAATAGTAAAGCGTTCTGCTGTACAGTTTAAATATCTATCTATAGAAGTAGCCTTTCTCGTAAGGAAATATATAGTAAGAGGGAGACCTGGGTCTGCTGCTGGGACATCACCGTTCCAAACGTTTGGGCTTTCCTTAAATTTTACCTACTGTAACACAGGCAGTACTTGGTTCACTTGCTCTGGCTTTCATTTTTAACAGCAGCACTGTGAGCTTGATTTGAGCAATATTCAAGTCGGTAATCAGTAATTTAAGGGCCGTGAAGGGTTCTGACTTCTTTGTTGAAATCTGTGCTGAGTGTCCTAAAACCAAACATCTAGAATCCAGCTGAAATGTTTTCAAGAACATGGAGCTTTCAGAGAGAAAACAAATGCATGAAAAGGACTATCTCCATCTCCTGCGCTGCCCTTCCCGACTTTTCTTGGTTACTTTTGATCCTGACAAGTGCTCAGACTCGAGTACATAGCATTATTGCTACAGCACAACTTTAGGTAAAAAGTGCTGTCTGCAGTTAGAAGGGAAGCTAAAGTAAAGCTCTGGCATTCATGCCAATGGGAACCAATTACTTCAAATAATTCTATAGTAGAAGGAACTGTTTGCAAGTGAAGGGATCTTGAATGAGTAGCTGACAAAGAAAAATAGGAGGTATAAAGGTTAAACTGTTTAAGTAAGCATAATTACCTGTATTACTTTTGTCAGAGGCAGAACCTGTGGTCATAGAAAAAGGACAGAATTGGGAGTGGTTTTTCACCTCCACCTTTAGTTTTCCACTGAGAGAAAAGATACTTGAGGCCTGACTTCAGTAAGAAATGTTTAATCCATTCAGTTTTAAATAGCTAAAGTATTTTTTCAGTACCATTAAAGCTCAGGCTTCTCGTAGTGACTTTCAGGATATACCTGTATGTCCAGGGCCTCAGGATTCTTAGGCCAAGACATCCATTTCTCAGTCTTCAGGTTGACACCGAGTGCAGAGATATCTGCAAGATAAGAGAGATCACCGGTTACTCCATGCTGCACTTCTGATAGTCACAGAAACTGATAGACTTTGTGCATGTCAGGAATCTGTACTAAGATAATCACAAGTTAATTATCAGAAGGCCTCAATTTGTTGGAAGAAATCAAGTTAATTTTACAAGACATTCACACTTGCAGGGTCAGCCCTGAAAGCACGATCACTTGGATATTTCTGCACAAACTAAGCAGGTTCTCTGGCTGTTGCAAGTAGCACATGATTTATGTATATATTTAACTGCTTCCATTGAATCTGGTTCCTCATTTCCCTGGTAATATCAGCTTGTGAGTCACTTTCTTCTGTCACTCACAGTACCTCTCATAAGATGATGTGCTAATTAAAAAGTTATATTATTTTTGCACAGGTCCACAGACATAGCAAAGATGATTTGGTAATGGTCTACGGAAATTAGAAATGTGTCATTCCTAAACTGTTGGTAGCAAATATAATACAATATAACAAGGGTCTATTTTCTGCCATCTTCAACTAGTAACACTTGGTCTCTTCATGATTACGTTCAAAGGCACATGCTTTGAATTATAACAACAGTATTTATAGAGATACATTTATCTTTCATGCAAGTAAATGGGGGAAAAAAGAGGATCTACAACGCAAAAGCATAATGTATTACTTTCCATAGTCCATTTAAAAATAAAAGCACATTTAACTGCAGTGACCCAATTTCCACTGATGTGGATACAGGAAGAAGGGACAATTATTGGCATTATCGAATGGCTGAGGATGATGGTTGTTTTTATGTCTGCTGCCAGTGAGCTGTCCTCTACTTGATGTGTTCTGGGGGAGGCAATGGAAGAGGATTCAGTGGGAAAAGAGAAGTGGGAAAGGGACTTTTCCAAACACTTGAAAAGCAGGACACCTCATGGTAAATTTGCTTATCTGACCTGTTTGGCAGGCTTTGTAAGGATGATGGCTTTAGCATGTAAGGAATGAGGTGGTACAAAGGGAAGAGCTTGGAGAGTGTAAATGGTATTACTAGAGCATCACGCTGGAGATAATGTGAACTGTAGCATTTTGGGGGGAATTTAGGGGTTGGGGGTAAACAGGTTTTGGAGGCTAGAGAGGCGGAAGTCAGTGTTCAAGATAAGGACTGAAAGAGCTGTTTTGAAGAACTGACTTTTCGTGGTTCTGCATCTGATTTTGGCAGCAGAACTATATACACAGAATTGCATTTAAACATGTAAACTGAAGTCTGAAGTTGATTCAACTTCAGGAACTGATTAATTGGCTACAGGGCAGCTTAGACTGTTCGACATTTAACTTAAGAGAATTTTGTAGCTTTTTATATTGATCCCAAACCTTTTTAATACAGGATTAGTTCTGAACGCAGGAAAGAGAAGTCAAGAGATGCAGCTAGATGCCGAAGAAGCAAGGAATCAGAAGTGTTCTATGAACTTGCTCATCAGCTGCCCCTTCCGCACACTGTGAGTGCCCACCTTGACAAGGCCTCCATTATGAGGCTGACCATCAGCTACCTGCGCATGAGGAAGCTGCTGGATGCTGGTAAGTGCAGAACTTGTCAGCACAACCTGGAAAGGGGCTGGATGTATACTGAGGGAGAATTTCTGAAACCAGTCAGCAGTTTAAAAGGAATTAATAGTATTTTTGTCAGTTAGACTTTCCTTAAGGTAGAAAGCTTACTGGTGGACGTATGAAAGCAATCTCACTCTGATTTTCTGAGATTTATGATACCATTACTAGACCTTGAATTTAATTGATCACTTAGATAAGTAAATGATAACTGCTTTTGAACAGCCCTGCAAGACTGGTTCCTTGCAGACTGGTGCCAGAAGTCATTTCTGATGACAAGTGAAAAATGACTAATATTTACTTTAATAAAAATTTATGGTCTCTCGTAGGTGAGCTAGAGACAGAAGCCAAAATGGAGAAGGAGCTGAACTGTTTCTACTTAAAAGCTCTTGATGGATTTGTTATGGTGCTTTCTGAGGATGGGGACATGATTTACATGTCTGAAAATGTGAACAAGTGTATGGGACTCACTCAGGTGAAATACATTTCCTAAGACTGTTTCACTTCTGTAAAAAGTTGTTACACTTGTGTATATATGAAGTTAGACACCCGTATACCTCTTATTTTGCAGTTCGATTTGACGGGGCACAGTGTATTTGATTTCACTCATCCATGTGACCATGAAGAGCTGAGAGAAATGCTTACACACAGAAATGGTGAGAAGAAAAAACAATCTCTAATTTACTTATGGATAGTTCCTCTTGGCACTAGAATAGATGGATATCTGCCAGATAAAGGCATAGAGAACAAATTGGTATGTTTTTCTGCTTAGACCACAAAGTTAGTCTTCCAGAGATACTAACAGATATAGCTGGAATGTTTTGGAAATATTGTAATTGCAGGTGACACGAGACTTCATTAGCACTCTTTAATCTAAAAATTAATGACTGAAATTGTTGAGGGTTGAAAGAATTAGCATGCATACAGGAATGAAATGAGTTTAGATGAAAGTTGGGTGAGAATGATATGGAATGATTGCTATAGAAAAATACAAAGACATTGAGTTGATGTCTGTCTTGATCTCAGATAGCCCGTACAGGACTACTTAAAAGCAAATGGTTTCTTTCAGAAACTTGTGGTGCAAGATTCAGTATGTAGAGATGATGGGAACACAGAAAAAACTAATTGGGTAGTGGTCTTACAGATATCAAATGTTCTTTCACAGAATCACAGAATCACAGAATGACCTGGGTTGGAGGGGACCTCAAGGATCATGTAGTTCCAACCCCCCTGCCTAGCAGGGCCACCAAACATACACCTTTACTAGATCAGGTTGCCCAGAGCCTCGTCCAATGCTCTTTCCTTGGATAAGAATAGAGAAGAACACTTGGAAAGCCCCATAAAGCAACTGTTAATTCTGGGCTTGGGATTTATGCTTCACTGCACCTTTTAATTGGTGCATGAAATTGGTATCTTTTCAGATTTCAGACTTTTTATTTCTCCATGTAAGGGAATAGAACACTGTATTCACATATGCTGTACACTTTGGGATTTAACAAATGCCCAATGAATTACTGCCTTTAAATCTTCTGAAGGTTTGTTAATGACTATAAAGACTTGGCAACATGCATGCCTCCAAACAAATCTTCTTTACTTGGTCGTAATAAATCTAAAATTGGACCTCTCTAATTCCTGTTCCCTCAAACAAGAGGGTTATATGAACTTTGAATCTAGATAGTGATTAATTACCACACTGCAGGACTGACCTCTATTTTCTTTTATCACTGTTTAGTTTAACAGAAGTGACTAGGTACTGTATTGTTGTGTTAAGGCCCTGGCTTTGACTTTTTAAGCATTCTCTAAACTTCTCAGCCCCTAATACTGAAGCACAGTTGTAAAGCTATATCAGACATCTTCCCTGCCTTTGTAATAAAATAATGCATCTGGAGGGATGCATTATTACACTAAAGCAGTGTAAAAGCTGGTCTGGTGCAAAAGCATATTCTTAAACGTAGTGAGTTTCATGCAGGTGATGTGTAGCTGTCTAAATTGACCAGACTGGAATACGGTGTCTGGAAAGCATTATTACAAAATCTGTTTTGCAAATGAAGCTAGCAGACAAAAGTCTACATTGCGCTAATAATACATTTTTATATTTAATAGTATTCCCAAGTTGCATTTTACTGCACCTCTTACATCAGTGGAATTATTTTGATTTGAGTATTAAAAAATCCTCTTGGGGATTGTGCAGGTGCAAATGAATACAGCTCTGATTGGCAGAAACTGAACTACATTCTGATGTTTTGGGAGGCTGCATTTTAACTTTCCAAGCTGGCTGTTATAAAAATAATGTCCAGTGCTGACCAAGACTTCAGAAAATTCCTCCATCTTTTACAGCTGCTTCTTAAAGCAGAGCCCTAAGCATCGGCATTTAATAACAACGACATTTTGATCTTCAGCTATGAATGTCTAGATTGGTTTTTAAAATATATCATGAAATAAGCTATGGTTATTTCTCTGAACTCTGCATTACTTTTTCCCCCTTCTTTTAAGGATGTTCTAATGCAGCGTAGAGTAGGCTCGTCCCCATTAGTTTTTGCATCTGCAAGCAATAGACAAAGCAGTGTAGTGGCTGTTATCTGTAGTGCACTTTTTTTCTGATGATTTCTGCCAGGCTCGTAGTTCAGACTACCAAGACTAATTTCATTGCAGTTGCTGTCCATGTGGGACAATCAAACCATTATATAAGCTCAGATCAGAAGCAAGCTCACATGTTCTGAACTTCTATGCTGTATCTTAATTTGGTCCCCACTCTAAGCATCCCTCTGCGAGATTGCTTTGTTCCACACCTCCTTGTCCTAGGTGCTTTATTGCCTTTGTCTGTGCACAGCTGAGCTGCTTGCAGCATTCCTGAGAGGATCAGTATGTTTTCTGTGCCCAAATTAGGCTGTTTGGTTTTTGAATAGCCGAACTAGTAATTGACTTTGGAAGGTTGTCCCCTGTAAAGGCAAAAAATTTTTTTAAAAATAATAATAATAAAAAAAAATCTAGAGCCTGCTGCTAGCAAGCAAGACTAAAAAAGTTAATACTGCTAATATTAATTTGTATCAGAATTTCTCGACTTTTTTCAAGAATGCAAATAGCATGTTTAAAAACCTGGTGCCTGCTTACTCTGAGAATGCAAATCACCATGGAAATACTCAGATGTGTTTAAATAGTTGAGCTATTAATTCACAATTTAAAGACTTAAAATACTGTAGTCCTGAAGAGATTTGGGCCCCAAGCACCCATGAGTTCTGTTTTAATGCAAACCAGCCTGAAGTGCTTCTCATACTGTATATGCTTTTCTTGACTCCTATCACAGTTTTAAAATATATTACATTTTACACCAGTTGTCTTTTTCCTGGAATTGTCAAGTTGACTACAAATATAACAGTGACATTAAAACATTGAAACTTCTTTTTTTTTCTTTATTTCACAGCAAAACCCTTCCTGAAAAGCTTTATTAATCATAAGCACTGATGGTTTTCAGTCTTTAGTTTTCTTTAGCTCTACTACACAGGTAGTTGAGTTGTGGTTTTATTTTAATGCATTCAGAAGATGATCCATGAGCTCAAGAACTGGTAACTATTTCCTTTTGCTAGGTCCTGTGAAAAAGGGCAAAGAGCAAAACACGGAGCGCAGCTTCTTTCTCAGAATGAAGTGTACACTGACCAGCAGGGGAAGAACAGTGAATATAAAGTCTGCTACATGGAAGGTAATGAATGCAAAGGGCTACTTGCATGGGTTGGCAGCTTCCTCTTCAGATGTCATAACTTACTGTATTTCAACACTTTTCACTTCATGTAACTTGAGGTTGAGTTTCAGTAAGTATTTAATTTAACGACTGTGCTTCAATATGCTGAATTTTAATGCAGAATACAGCAGGGGAGGTAACTGAAACAATGTTTAAAATTAGTTTTTCAAAACTCTTTAATTCTCCATTTTAAATTAGAGGTTATTCATTTGTTGGAAATTATAATTACTAAATGCTTGCGTAAAGCCGCCTCCTCTGAGGGAAAAATACCTGACGCCATTTATACTGATACTCCACTCCTTTTGATTCAGCTTTGTAAATCCGACGTTTGAGGTTCCTCTGAAGGACTCATGTGTTGTTCTTTCTGAAGTTGCTGGCTATCCCTTTTGTAATAACTAAAGGAACCCAGTCTGATAAGTGTCTGAGATGAATGCATTTTTATTTTTTCCTTCAGGCAGCCTTTTATTGTATGAAGTGTCATTACAGTTAAAAATATTCTTTTTAACTGAAGCTTAGTTACTCTTGATCAAATAATTTCTTTCTTCTTTGCTGTACGCGAACAATTTCTACTTCAGATTTCTTTTTTTAAAAGGGGAAAATAAAAAATGCAAACCTTCCCATCTTTTGAAGAACGTATTTGATTTCTTCTTCTAACATCGCTTCTGCAGAAGATCTAAAATGGAGGCTGACACTATTAGCATAACTCTCAGGTTGACATAGTAGGATGCCTGTTGCTGAGACAATTGTTTACAGTGTAATGAATTTAACTTTGAAAGAAATTGACAGGAAAGCAGAAACTTCTGGCATTGCTTCTGCAGACACAAGAGAGGAAGAATCTGGCAGCAAGTGTACTAACAGCCTGTGTAAGATGAGGAGAACTGGCTGTATTTTAACAATCGGTTTGAGAGCACTATTGTGTTCCTGCTGTTGATAACACTAAGCATAGAGAGGTGGGGAGGGGGGTACTTCACTCTGTGTGCACTAATGAAAAGTGCGTCTGTGTTGTCTGACAGAAAGCAATCTGGTCTCTTTTTAAGTGTAACTGTCCCACAGGTACTGCACTGCACTGGACACATACGTGTATATGACACGTGCAATAATCAAACTCACTGTGGCTACAAGAAGCCTCCCATGACGTGCTTGGTGTTGATATGTGAACCAATTCCTCACCCATCAAACATTGAGGTCCCCTTGGACAGTAAAACGTTCCTCAGTCGTCACAGTCTTGATATGAAGTTTTCCTACTGTGATGAAAGGTAAAATATATTCTGTTCTTAACAGCTGCATTCACACAAATGAATGATTTGCAGGGGCTGTGTGTGTTGGCTAACGTGGGCCTCATGCTTTTACAGGCTTACTGGGTAATGTGATTATCTGCAAAACGGAGTTGTCAGTGAGATGCTGTGGCTTTTATACTGACTGAGCCAAACTCTTAAGTCTAAGGAGGGTGTAGGGTTATAACTTGTGAGTAATTCTTCAGTTAACTGCCTGTTCAAACTGGCCTTTAGTGTTGTGGCAACAATTCCATTGAAATGAGAAGATTTTTCTGGATGCTGAGAAAATGAAAAGGATTTGAGGATTGGTGGAGATGATGGTGCAGTTTATGGCCCAAAAAGAGTACATATATAATATCTGTCAAGGCACATTTTGCTGCTTTCTCATTCTTTTGTCAGATCAGCACCTGCTTTTTCCAGTCAGGAAAAAAAAAAAGGGCTTTGTTCTACTTTTAATGCAACGCATCTGCAGTTCAAAATGAGATTTTTGTATGATAATACATATATATGTCAGTGATGTAGTCATGTAGTCTAATACTCATCTTACTATCCTTTGGAAGCTCATGCTTGATAAATTTGAAAAAACAGATGTGAAGGAAATCACTGGTCTATTTTTTTTTAATTGGGTTCTATTTGTTACTGCCTGCTAAGACTTTTTTTTTTTTTAATATAAAAACAAATTTCTAATCAGTTACTGCAGTTAGATACAAAGGTATGTTAATGCAGGTTACTTTCTACTCTGTGCAATAACTTTACCTTTCTAAAGCTGGTGGTGGTACATAAAATGTATTATTTGGTGGGGATGTGCGTAGAGCAGGGCTGGTTGAATGCTTTTTCCTAGTTAGCCCTGCCCTCTAGGGGCTGAAGAAAATACTGTTTTCTTTGAAGGCCAACACTGAGAAGAATAAATCTGATTAATAATTTGTCTTAGTTGCATGGTTAAAACTGTTAAAGCATGTCTTTATTTTATTGTATTCTTATTTGTGTAAGCTGGATATTCTAGTCTGTAAGCAGCTTGTCTACTTTTAAGCAATAATGTCTAAAAAGCAGGGATTTACTTAATCCTGTCCATCACGGGACATGCTTTATAAATATTCAGTGAGAAGTAAAATCCCATGGCTGCTGAAATGTCTTGTATCTTATTAAAGAAGCATGAGGAAAAAAAAAGCAAACTCACAGTAAACCAGCACTGCTGGTAAAGTTTGTGGAAGAGACTCTTAAGTGCTCTGTGGATCTACAGGCATCCATGTGCTGCTCAACGGCTGCTTAGCAAATATTCTCTTGTTTTAAAGAATTACAGAGCTGATGGGATACGAGCCAGAAGAACTCCTGGGTCGTTCAATCTATGAGTACTATCATGCGCTGGATTCTGATCATCTGACCAAAACACACCATGATAGTAAGTGAAAAAGATGTATTTAAAGCTCTTGAAGCACAAGAAATGAGAGAGTGCTAGAGGAAAGCCATAGAATAACAGGGGTTTTCCTTTTAATTGCAGATATGAATCTGCAGAGAATACTTAGCTTGAAAACTGTTTTTTTTTTTTTTCCTGCCTGTAATTAAAGCTGATGACCATTCTGTTTTTAGTGTTCACAAAAGGCCAGGTGACAACGGGACAATACAGAATGCTTGCTAAACAAGGTGGCTACGTCTGGGTTGAAACTCAAGCAACTGTTATATACAACACTAAGAATTCTCAGCCACAGTGCATAGTATGTGTAAACTATGTGTTGAGGTAAGTTGAGTAAGAATTGCTATTTTTGTCATGATTTTTTTGAGTCAGATTCTGATTACATCTTTGACTTGCTGTGAATTTGATCCCTATTCACTATGCTACACTGCTAACTGTTTTTCCTACCAATTAGATTTTTGCTTAGAATACTGCTAGTCGTAGGACTAGGATTTAAAAAAAGACAACCACTTCTTTGATGTAGTGATATCAGTGGGGAGATCTCTGCAGGCAAACAAGTACAGGACCAAAGTGTTTTGGATTATCATGATAGAAGCATTTCAGAATTTGTGCACTGCAGACATTTATCTAATTTTTGTCCACAGTCTGGAACAGTTACATTCATTTGTAATTCTTAGTGATGGAGTGAGAGCAGCTATAGTGGTTTCCTATTAATCTTTTTCTTCCTTAGAACTGTTTTTACTGAAAGGTTCAACTTAGGGATTTTTCTGCAACTGTGGAATAATCCTATGTTAGTTTTTCACAGTTTTAGTGAATGTACCAGTATCAATCCATCAAGATATAGTACATCCATTTAAAAGAAGTAGAAGACTTTTAAGGAAATCACCAAAGTTTGTTCTACTTGCTTTTTTTTACTCTCTTGATGCTTTCATGGAAGTAGTATGTCTGTCTGTTACCTTTTTGTGACACCAGATTTAGCCTGTTACAGTTGAGGAAACAATTTTTGTTTGTAAACACTTGCAACTTAGAAAATTGGGAAGGCCAAATGTTAACTGGTTTTTAATAATCTTCCTTTCTGTCTGGCAGTGGAATTGTTCAGAAGGACTTGATATTTTCCCTTGGACAAACTGAGTGTATGCTGAAACCGGTGGAGTCTCCTGAAATGAAAACGACCAAAATATTCAGCAAAGATGACCTGGATGATACCAACAGCCTTTTTGAAAAACTTAAGCAGGAACCAGATGCTTTAACTGTACTGGCTCCAGCTGCTGGGGACACAATTATCTCCCTAGATTTCAGCAGCAATGGTGGGTGTGTGTTTAAATTGGAGAGCATGCTAATCAGTAAAGTTTAGTATTTTACAGTAAACTCTGGAAAAAAACTTCCCACTTTCACTTGCCTAGTGATCTTTCAGCCACTGTTAAAATTTAATGAGGTCCGTAGACACACTCAGTATTTGTTACTTAGATTGATGGTCTCTTTTAATTTTTATAGAGTCTGATGAACAACAATGTGATGAAGTTCCTTTGTATAACGATGTAATGCTCCCCTCATCCAGTGAGAAATTGCAGAATATAAATATGGCAATGTCCCCACTACCTGCCTCTGAAACTACAAAGCCACTTCGTAGCAATGCTGATCCTGCACTCAATAGAGAAGTTGTATCAAAGCTGGAGCCAAACACAGAGACGCTCGAACTTTCTTTTACCATGCCTCAGGTGCAAGAGCAACCAACCAGCCCTTCTGATGCAAGTACCAGCCAAAGTTCACCTGAGGTTAGTTATGTAATTTGGATACACCGTCATTAAAATGTATGTGCTTGTGTTGAGGCTTGTAGAGCATATCTAGTTAAAGATGCACCCAAGGCATGAATTTAAAATTATTTCTAGGTTGTGAACTAGTTATGCTCATACTCTAAGGAAAAATACATTTTCACAGGGAGAATTAACTTTTCATAGAAGTGAGTCTTGCAAATATGTAGAACAGTACATGTGATAGAAAAGAAGTGCTTAAGATAGGTCTTTCTAGAAAAGGATGATTCAGAGTTGGCTTCTGTAAACAGCAAATTAGTTACAGGAAATTACTGCATAGGCTACTTCTGGGTTCTAACTAATCAAGTGCTTCCCAAATGGGTAAATAAACGTATATGTTTTCCTTTCCCATTTTAGTTTTATGCAGCCATAGATTAGAATTAGTTTTGGCATTCACACGTTTTTCAGAGAGTCTGTAGATACAATGCAAAATAACGTAACGATAGAAAGTTAAAACTGCACTCAAAATGTTTTCACAGCCCAGTAGCCCCAATGACTATTGCTTTGATGTGGATAATGACATGGCTAATGAATTCAAACTGGAATTAGTGGAGAAGCTCTTTGCAATAGATACAGAAGCAAAAAATCCATTCTCCACTCAGGTAATGTACATAAACTTGAAATTCAGTATCATCTTAGTGCTCTCAGCGTGCTTCTCATTTTGTTAAATGCATCCAGCAACCTTTTTCTTTTACACAGCGCTTTATTAAAAATAAATTGCGCAAACTTACTTTAAGGATTTGGTAAAAGGAAGAGGCTTAGCAGAGCCATGAAGTCATAACTGAGATGTTCTGATATAAATTTTACCTCTTATGTTCTCCAGGAGACTGATTTAGACTTGGAAATGTTGGCTCCTTACATCCCAATGGATGATGACTTCCAGCTACGCTCCTTTGATCAGCTATCTCCACTGGAAAGCAATTCTTCTGGCTCTCAAAATGCAGCCACCATTACCATACTTCAGCAGACTCAGACACCATCAACTGCTGCTGATGAAATAAAACCAGTGGCAGAACGTGTGGATGATGTGAAGGCACTAATTGTTCCATCATCTCCTGTCCATGTAATAAATGACACAAGTAGTGCCCCAGCATCACCTTACAGCGGGAACAGGAGTCGAACTGCATCTCCAATCAGAGCAGGAAAAGGAACATTGGAACAGACAGAAAAATCTTGTCCAGGAGCACCCAGTTTGATAACAGTCACACTGAACAAAAGGTATTTCAAAAGTGAAGCTCAAGCCCTAGTATTTATTCAAGAAATTAGATGTGATACACTTTGAAATACTGCGACTGATGTACATTATCTTCAACATTCTACATCAAAGTAGAAATTAAAATTTAAATCCAGACCACTTTTTTTTATATAGTAAGCTTCTCTAATTTCTCAGCAGCTTTTTTGCAGTAGCCCTTACATAAACATCTCATGCAATAGGCAGCTACTACATGCCAGCTGTGTTCATTATTTTGTTCTGCTCTTGTATGTGATGTATAGCCACTTAAAAAGACTGCAGCAGGCACTAAACAGGTAGTTATAACTACACAGCATTTCTGATGCTTTTCTTGTCTACTTCATTGAGGTGAGAGGCATCTACAGTCTGTGCTACACGTACTGCTTTTAAAATTGGCTATAATTCATGATGATGGACTATGGTATATGTAGCACATATTTATGATGACAAAATTCTACAAAATCAGAACATCGGACCTTTAACACAAAATTTATACACAAATACTCAGAAGACTTTTCCTCAATCTTCCCCCCCTCCTTTCTGTAGAAAATGAATTACTGAACTTTATGCTTTGTTTTTTTTGGTGGTTTTTTACGTACTTTTTTTTCCCCTAGAACTCATTCTGAGCTTTATAGAAAGATTAAATGCTAACACTTTCTGTGCTACTAGGCAATAATTGTTTAAATTAGTCAGTTACTAAAGAATACTAGTATAGTTCTTAAATTCAGTTCTGTCATGTTGTATTTGTCCACAAAAGAAGAATGGCTTGAGAACAGTAGAAACGTCTTAACAGCCTGAATCAATTTTTCTTAGATCTACTGCAATGGATGAAGAACTAAATCCAAAGATGCTAGCTTTGCATAATGCTCAGAGAAAACGAAAAATGGAGCATGATGGTTCACTTTTTCAGGCAGTTGGAATTGTGAGTTTTGTTTTACCATTTTAAAATATTCACTTTTAACCTTGCAATTTCTGACATGAGGCTTCAGTGCAGACTCCAGAGTTTAGCTGTTGGTGTGCAATGGAATCTTGGGATCAAAAATAACTGTTTGGGCTTGAAATTCCCTCCTATATGCAAATACTGTTTTAGTTCTTTTACTGTTGGTTGTTTCAAAGTGCCCTCTGTACCTAAGTGCATTTCTGGATTAGATAGAAGGTATTTGTGAACATACATGTGAGGAGGCGTGCTTCATTAGCAGAATAATGCGCAAATGTAAGGCAAAAATGTCGTATTTATTTCAATTCTGCTTTCAAACTCAGTTTTCATATTCACGAGCACCGGACAGTGTTCTTACACTTCTTATTCTTTCATTTCTCCTTGAGGCTGAGGTTTCTTTTTTAAATTTGGTCAGATAACAAGAACATCTGAACTACAAACTGTGAATTCACATAATCTAGACAACTTGCATTGCTTCCACATGAGTTCTCTCTCTCATTTATGATTGTGAGTACCGCATCGTTGTCCATCTAAGCTATTCAAAAGGAAATCTGTAGGTATTCTAAGACTTCTGTCACTTCACTGGAACTATTCAACTTGTTATCTTCTGTAAGGGTATTTTGTCTCTATGATCTTTGATTCTTAATGTCATTTTTTTTTAGTAGTTTGAAATCTTGGGCTTTGCAATGATTTGCATCTCTCTTCTTGATTTCATTGCAAATTCCCACTTCTCTTAAGTTTCTACATGGTTAATTCTTGTCTTTTTCTACTGCATGGTAGCCTTCAACGTTTTGTTTCTCTAGCAGTCTATACATCTCCTAGATGTAGTCATCCATCATGTCTTACAGTGCAGGGTTACTTTTCCTCTGAATGGTTCACTCATGCGAGAAGTCACTGTATGCAGCCTTAGCACTGCTGTCCTCTGTGACAGCTGAGAAAGCATTAATACTTTTTTTTATTTTTGCTATGGGGTTAGCAGATTTAAAAAAAAAAAAACAAAACAAAACAACAAACATACTTATGCTATCGATCTTATTTGCTAAATGCTTTGCACTTTCATGCACGTTGTTCTGTTGCTTTCAGTAGCTCTTAAGAATTCACAGCTCTGCTACAAGTTTTGTTGCCTTTGGTTGCCTCTTTCTCATGCAGTGGTGCTACGGCTGTGCTATAGTGTTGTTGATACGTATTTCAAAGTAGCTGAACACAAGCAGTTCTGTACTAGCTACTGTAATGAACACGGACTTCTATGTTGAGAGATTTATTTTAAAGCTTGTAAGTTCGTATTTCACCCTTTGCTAAGCCTCCTTTCTGTATCTGATGAGCATTATAAATATCTTGACGGTTCCTGCACAGTCAGAAGCTGAATTTTCCACGTAGTGGGGGTCTTAGTTGCATTATTACAAGCAAATACTTTTGTCATCTGGTTTCTCTCTCCAAAATGAATTTCTCAGTGTACAAACCAGGCCTTGCAGATTCACAGAAGAAAAATTATATTAAATCCAGCCTTGTATCATACAGTGATTTGGGATTGTGCAAAAACTTGCCATGTCTTCCTGGCTATATGGAAGCAGTATTAATTACTGTGAAGAGTGAAAATAATTGAAGACAAAACACAGCTTTAGCTTTTCTGGAAAATGAGAGAATTAGATAAGGACAAGGTGTGCTACAGTAAGATTATGAAATAATGATCCAAATAATTAAAGCAGAAAAAAGTGAGTTATCTTTCTTCATGTGGAGGGCTGTAATGCATTCACGGTAGGAAAACAAAACAAAAGCCAGAACAGGAACAATACAGGTGACTTATCTTGCTATGAAATGCAGCTTCTGAGTTGTTTAACTCCTGTTATACAACTGTCTTTTTGACTTGCATGCATGTTTAATAACCTGAAAATGTGTCCTGTAATGGCAGCATTCTTAAACACTTTTTCCTCTTTCGCAACAGTCAGTGTTACTAACAAGGCAAAATTTTGCAGATTCAACCCCTTGTCACTCAGATGGTGTTTTTTCCTTCCATCCCATCTTTGTTTCAGTGGTGGCCTTTTCTTATCCTAATTATATGGAGCTTTTAAAGGCTTTCCGATCCCCCACAACTTGGAGGCTGCCATCAAAAGAATAAGTTAAGGAGCTGTTCTGCAATAGAATGGCTCAGAACTGCATTCCCTTAAGCCTTAGATTGGATGGCTTGGTGGCAACAACTGGTGCACAAGCAGAATTTACAACTTAAACGTAGATAAAATCCACTGAGTGAGGTGCCTGACTCTCCTGTTTACACTACTAATGCCAGTGCAGAAAACCATTAGACTCCAGTGGAAACCTGATAGTTACTCACATGAGAGCAGTGGTAATCAAATGGGTGTGTATGTGTACCTGTGCTAATCTTGAGCCTGGTATCTGGTGATAACAAGGATTCAGTAATTATTTTGTGTAAGGGAGGTAACCTCTTGAAATCTGATCCCATTTTTTAAAAGTAATTTTTAAGCCTACTATATTGAAAATATTTGATCTCAGTTCTGAGTGAAGTCCACTGTAAATTGTAATAAAGCCAACATCAGTGATAGGGAACCCTAGTTTGGCAAAAGGATGCAGACGGCCAGAAAGATGCACTATTCAATAAAGAAGTTTTTGTTTTACTTTCTCCTAGGGGTCTTTATTCCAGCAGACAGGTGACCGTGGAGGAAACGCATCGCTTGCTTGGAAACGTGTAAAGGCGTGCAAAACGAACGGTCACAATGGAGTGGAGCAAAAGACAATCATTCTACTATCAACTGGTTAGTATCTTTAAAACAAAATGTATGTAGAGGGGGGCAGGGGCTGTGAAAGAAAACTGATGCAAACATACCCAAGCTCATCTCATTCCTGAAAAAATCTGGGAGGAAAGTGAATAAAGTGCACTTTTTTCCTTCCCCTCCCTCTATAGACATAGCGAGTAAACTTCTAGGGCAGTCGATGGATGAGAGTGGACTACCCCAACTCACGAGTTACGATTGTGAAGTAAATGCTCCCATACAAGGCAACAGAAACCTGCTACAGGGTGAAGAACTGCTCAGAGCTCTGGATCAAGTTAACTGAGCTTTCACAGTAGTTGTTCCTTTTTTGGACACTGGTGAATCATCACCTAAAGCAGTCTATTTATATTTTCTATATCTGATTTTAGAAGCCTGGCTACAGTACTGCACTAATTCAGTTAGTTCAGTTTTGATCCCCTTTCTACTTATTTTGACAGTCTTTTTAATACATTCTTTATGTAACAATAACTCAAACCGTAGTGCGTTTTTATAATTCTTTGGTACATACACCTTAAAGTCCATTACATTTAAAACACACTTGCAATAGCAGCTTAGAAATATGCACCTGATTTTAAAAAAATATTTATTTTTTGGCTGGGGAGTTGGTCACCAAAATCTATCATTAGTAAAATGTCAGCACGTGAAAAACTGGCAATACTTCCATCCTGCTCTTCGTAGGTAGCTGGAAGACTTGTGCTCTCTTACTCTTTATGTTCAAGTAAGTTTTTTTTTTTAATTTTAATATTTTTTTATAAGAAACAACAATGCTTTGCAGCAGTGCATTGTAGCCACAATCGCACAATATATTTTCTTAAAAAATACCAGCAGTTCCTCATGCAATATATCTGCATTTATAAAAACTAGTTTTTAAGAAGAATCTTTTGTTTGCCTATGAAATCATGTTTAAACCTGGATTACGTCATTATTTTAGTCACATTGTAATATAAATTGTTCTTAAATGCTGTCTTATGCTTTTGACTTAAGAGTGTGATTAGTCGAAGGGAAAGGATTTATCTGGGAAGGGCTAGCAGCATTTTATTTGGGTACATTCTCAATTTAGAGAGAGAGTTTGATGTTCTTAAAGTAGTCACTTTGCCAGCTTAAAAGAAATCCCTGCCTGTAGTTGTTGAAGTTAATGCTAATATTGTGTATGATCTTAAATGTTCAGCTTACCCTGTGTGGTATAGGTGATATTTCAAGCAGATTGTAAACCATCTTGCATTGTTAGCAGTTTTATCTAGTACATCATTGAGTTGCTCAGTATTTTAATGTTTTGGTTTTAAGCACCTTGTTGCTATTAACATCCGTATATTTTCGTGTAGATTTCAATAACTTGAATATATTTAGAAGCCTTTTTATTTAGAAATATATAGTTGTCACAAACATCTTATTTTCCTATATGTACTGTACAAAACCTTCATTCACTCGTTCTTTTGCTCTTTGTGGTTGGATCTAACACTAACTGTATTGTTTTCTTACATCAATAAACTATATGTGGACCAGGCCCCCTCGGGGAGTGTGTTATCTGAGAAAAATGAGATAATTTATATTTTTGTTAGTGGTTATTGTTCATCCGTGTTCCCTTTTTAACTTAGACTTGATTGGAAATCACAGCTTCCTTACTTCGATTGTACCATCTCCAATTTAATTATTTGAGCCTATTCAGTACTAAATACACAGTGTTGTACCGCCGGCCAAAGATGTTAAATTTTTTAACCTGTTATCACACCAGTTAGCAAACTTGAAAGGGAGAAGACAGCATATCTGTTACGTCAGAGCAAAAGGACTTTTTTTCCTTAAGACCAGCTTAGAGGCTCGTCTCTGGAAGCATTATCAAGGTAACACTGGAAAGCAGGAAAAAGTAAAATTCAAGAGGGATCAATTAAAGATGAACTTAAAATTGCAGTGAGAAATGAAGCTGGTACTCTGTGATAGAGAAAAGTTGTTCTGTGTTGTTGTGCTGTTGACTCGGTAACTTTGCTGTCCTAAAACCTGATACTATTGATACAACCTTGTAATGTGTAAATAGGGTCAAGATATTCTGTGCATTCTTCACAAACTATTTTAGGAAACTTATTTCACTGTAAGAAATGAAGTGTGGATGTCACGATTTATTTTGGAATCCTTTGTTTCATTGACCTCCTTTAGAGTACTTTAAAATCACTGTAATGGTGTATAAGCTTAATGTGCTTTTTAAAAATACTGTTACAGTTCTACTGAAGCAAGAGCACTTTCCAAACTGACACAAGTGTGCTAATGAAACTAAATGGAACCAACGTTAAAAGATAAGGCACTGGTAGCGGAATATGGTTGTGTGAGTAGAAGTTGCATAGAGAGAGAAAAGCACTAAGCATGAACTTCAGGACTTGTGCAGAATGAACATCTTGAATATACAGACCTAATAAATATTAAGGGTTTGTACAGAAGCCCTTATATGTGGGTGGTGCGCTTCCCATGGCACCGCTTTCTCCAGCAGCAGAAGTTGTGATAATGAAGCTGGTAAAGGCTTAGGAAAGGCACCAGCAGACGTGGGTTTAAATGAGCACTATTTCACCTAAGGATCTTCCCCATTCATACACATTTTCTGTCATACATACTAATGAGGCACAGCATGTTGTTTATTATGCTTGTAGAAGTGAATGAAATAAGACTGAACTGCAGTACGTGCAACAGTTTGCACTCTGGGCAACTGGAAAAAAAAGAAAAGGCCTCAGCCTGAAAACTTAACTTTTAAAATTAGACATAAGATTTCAAGTGTTCCCTTTTTTTCCGCTCCCACTGACCTCTAATTATTGTAACAGTAATTATCAGAACCTGCTCCCTGTGACTGTATTCTGGAAGTTACAGCTTCCCTATATTTTTACAACTAAGACTGATGTGCTGTAGTTACTGAGAATGGTTCTTCAGCTCTCAGAGATGCTGAAGAAAGCATGGAAAAGTAACAGTAACTGCTCTGGGCTGCTCTAAGCTGTGCTAAATACTGCTGCGTGTTCACTAAACCTGGAAGCAGTCCTTGTAGCTGCTTTCATTTCTTTTCGTAGATTTTAGGACTCTCCAGCCTCATGCAAATCTTCCTTTGGAGGACAAGATTTTTTGTATACATTCATTTTTACACATTTGCTTCATAATTTTGAATAAATTTTTTTTTAAAGTGTTGAAGCATTATCTTATAGCACTTACTCTTTACCAGTAGTAAAGAAGGAACTGCAGCTGGATGTGGTATTTGCTTTTGCATATGAAACATACTAAATTATGAGTTTCACAAAATAAGAGGAACAGTGCTGCTTTCAGCAGCTCATCGGAACTGCAGCAGTAATCAAACCATGCACATCACTGAGTGGTTGTCCAGCAGCTTAGGTGTAATATACTTAAAGTTGCCTGGAGTCCAGAGTGCATGCTTCCTACTGCACCTTCTGCCATGCAGTAAGATGGATTTAGACTGTATGTTGGTCTTGAAAAACCTTTGGGTATAATAGAAACATTTTACTATTAATAGTTTCCATTCCTGTTGTACGCACAAATTCCCTGACAGTAATTATGAATCACTTTAGAGAGACAGATGCCAGAAAGAACAATTAAAGCTCTATGTGCTTGCAATGAAATAAAGGTATAGGGATCAAAAATCATTACAAGTTTAATAACTGCATATTTAGAAGTAACGTTCATTATTTAAACAGCTAAATAAAGGTAGCTGAAGACAGAAACGTGGGCTGTTCCACTGGTAGCTGGTGGCAGGCTTTCTCTGTTGTTAAACTGCTGAATGAATCATTTCCTTCCATAAATCCAGGAGGCAAGCACTAGAGGATAGGCCTGAGGTCAATCATCTGTTCTCCATCCCCTCTGATTAGCTGCTACTGAACAGCACGCACAATTCACCCAAATGTCACTGCACTTATGGATATTGTTCAGATTGCAATTATCCAGCATGAAAATAAACATTTCACAGGCCAGGAATACTCTGTAGGAAGGCCAGTATTGTCATAGGAACTCATGAGCTGAATACCCAGCTTTCATTAGCAATCATACGCTTGACTCCCTGGAAAGCGCCAATCTTGAGAACTGCGATTTTGATCCATGTTCTAAAACTGAGGTGTCATTTTCTTTCTGCTTCCCTGCTTACCTTGAGCAAAGCTTGCCAAGTTACCAAAAAGTTAAGAGTTTGCTACTGGATTTATACAGTATGGTAGATTTTGTGAATAACTGCAGTATTCTCTCATGAAAAAGTGGTATATTTTGATGGAATTCTTTTCTGGAACCAAGTACAACCTATTGCAATTGTATTTCTCTTGAAACACTTTGACATACTTGTGATTGTACTTCTTTTTGATTGTGTAACGGTATAAAATTCAATAAAAGAGAGGGTTTGTTTCTAATTTGTGGCATCTGTGATCTTTCTGTTCATCAATTAGCCCAATTCTGAAAGATGGACATGGCAAAAACACTTCAAAAAAGAAAGTAAGTACACACTGTGCAGCACAACTGAAACTTGCGTGTTTGAGGTGCAACCCACCTCATGCTGAAGTCAAGAGCCTCAGTCACTAAACATACACATGGCCTGTTTTCCAAAAGCATTTATAAATTGTTTTCACCCTTACAGCCAAAACCACTCACTGTGGTTATCCCATCTAAATTAAGTGCACTACACCCATGAACAGAAGAGGATAAGCATACAGTTCCAGTCTAACATTACAGCAGGTGCTGCTGCAGGAAAACACAGAGAACAGAGCGATGGGTATGGAGCCAGGGGGACAAAGTTTTAAAAGAAACCTCTGAGTAATCAAGGACAGCCTTAGTAACAAAACAGAAGCAATTTCAAATCCAAGATGATTTTCCAGGTGATTTCAGTTGCTCTCAACACATGCAAATAGTTAAACAGTAAGAGTCCCAAAATCTTGTTAAGCGAACACCGCTTCCTATTGCACAAATCAGAAATTTCCTGCAATGTTTTTGTTTTCTTGCGATGAAGTCTGGAAGCAGAAAGCACACTCAAATGCCATCAACTCAGTAGAGTACGATCCCATTATTTAGTACTAGTGATGTTTGTATGTATTTTGTTAAACAGCATATTAAAGCTTCCACGTATGTGACTTACGCTCGTGAAAACAAGATTTATTTCCATGTTCTCAATTTGAAAATGTATTCTGAACACATAAGATACTCAAAAATAAACGAGTTACCCTGTGCCATATGCAACCCGAGAAACCTGTTATTTATAGCTATGTCTATGCAGGATAAGAAGATTAACTTACATCTTACAGGGCAGGACAAGTGGGAACTCGTATCCCTTTGTTTAGCATATGAGGCAGATACAGTAACTAGCACGGAAAGCAGCCAGTGGACAGTTAAAACATACTAAGAATACGAAGGAGCACTGAACGAAAACAATTCATCAAGAAACGTGGAGGATTAATTAGCCAAGAAAAACAACACTATTTGAGTGTAAAAGCAACAGAGTGAGAATTCTGCAATAAGATCCCGTTTGTTTTGCGCGCACACACACACACACACACACACACACACACACACACACACGAGCCTCGTCCCGCTGCATCCTCTCTCACTGCGGTGACCGCAGCCCTGCCTGCCTTACAGAAGCACCGCTCCGCCTGGTGCTTCTTCACACAGCGTCCCTGAGAAACCAAAGCTAGGAAAACACACCTGACCAACCGCACCGCTGCCGTTAGAAAAGGGATAACCGCCGTAACTCAGACGTGGGTCCGGCCCTGCCTCCCACCCTGCGGCCATCGGGGTCTGCACGTGTGGGGCAGGAGCGCTGACTGCTCTCCCCACAGCGTCAGCGTCCAGTGCCGATAGCGAAGCCAGGGTCACGCAGGGGATGAACGGGGTCACAGCCCTACGTCTTTAAACACCGCATGAACCAAATGTATTTTCAGAAACAAACAAACCAACCAAGCAACCACCCGGCCGCGCCGCTCGCTCCCACTCCCGGCTGGCGCGCACAGCCCCGCTCCCCGCCGTTCCCGCTCTCCCTCACAGACCTGCGCTCCGGCCGCTCTCCGCCGCCTCGGCTGCCGCCCGCGCCTACGTGCGCCGGGGAGCGAGGGGCCGGAGAGCCGCCAGAGCCCGCGCCGCTCCGCGCCGAGGCCGCGCCCACCCACTCTACGTGCAGCCCGGCAGCCGCGGCCCCCCGCTCCCCGCCCGCCTACGTGTGGCCGTGCATGCGGGGAGCGCCCGCCGCGAAGCGCCCCGGCCAAACCCCGCCGCCCTCCCTCACGGAGAGCCCGTGCGCGGAGCAGCGCGCGTGCCCGGGAGCTGCGCAGGCGCCCTGGCGGGACGCGGGGCGCGGTAATGGCGGCGGGCTGAGGGGTGAGTTGTGAGCTGCGGGCTGTAGCGATGAGTGCCGTGCCCGGGCTGCAGGAGGACTGCGAGGCGCTGCTCGGTGCCTTCCAGGAAGCCGACACCGTCCGCTTCGAGCGCTTTGCTGAGCTGTGGCGGGAGCGCCGCTTCCACACCGTCTTCCAGTGAGTGATCGGCCCTGCCCTGCCCTTGTGGGTTGGCGTTAAACAGCAGAACAGTAAAACAGTATAGACTGTTGCCTTTTTCACTCCAGATCTGATTTGCTACACGCAGTGCTGCTTAAGAGCGTAGAGCATAGAGCACAGCCCTCTGTGGAGTTGTCTGAAGTAACGTTTTAAAGTTCCCAAAGCTTGCTGCTGTGACACCAATGCTTTTACAGTCGCTTGCTGCAGTGTGCTCCTTTCTGTTTGCTGTAGTGGTCGAATGAGAGCTCTGGAGAGGAATAAGATCACCAAGAAGACGTTAGAGCTGGCACAGCAGTACTTCTTGCCGCCGTATGCCTTCCAGATCCGAGTCGGTGCTCTGTACCTTCTGTACGGGCTCTACAACACGCAGCTCTGCCAGCCGAAAATAAAGGTACCTTACTGAGCCTGCTCGGAAGGTGTGGGACGTGAGATGTTTTCATGGCAGTACTAAGGTTGGAAAGGGTTGCTGAGATTATTTGTCACTGTTATAGTAAAGAAGTTCTTCCTTATGTTTGTATGGAAGTTCCTGCGTTCTAGTTTGTGCCCGTTGCCGCTTGTTCTGTCGCTGGGCAGCACTGAAGAGAGCCTGCAGCCATCTGGTTGACTCTCATACTTTAGACATTTATGAACGGTGATGAAATCACCTCTCAGTCTTCTCTTCTCCAGGCTGAACAGTCCCAGGTCTCTCAGTCTTTCCTCATACAGATGTTCCATCCCCCATTCATCTCTGTGGCCCTTTGCTGTACTCTCTCCAAAAGTTCCCTGTCTTTCATGAACTGAGGAGCCCAGAATTGGACACAGTGCTCTACCTAAGCAGAGCAGAAGGAGAAGGATAACCTCCCTTGACCTGCTGGCCACACTCTTTTTAATGCACCGCATGACACCGTTGGCCTTGTTGGCCACAAGGGCACGCTGTTAGATCATGGAACATCCTATTGTCCACCAGGACACCAAGGTCTTTCTCCACAGTCAGTGGGAAGCTAGAATATTCTCATCAAATGTGGAGAGAACTCCATGACAGTTGTTTATTAGAATTTCAACAAAATGAAGACTGGTTAAATTATTTCCAATTCCTGTTAACTAGAAGTGGAATTTGTAAATAGGTGGAAAGTTTGAACGTCTGAACAATATGTGCCTTCTTATTGCATTTAGGAGAGAAGATTGGTATAGAAATGAGTTAGAAAATCAGTGCAAATAGTTTGTGCAGAAATAGTTGTGTATGTTGTGTGCATATGCACAACTCAATCCAAATTCCTTACACATGAAACAAAGTATTCTACAGTGATGTTGTTACATCTCAATCTTAATTATAGAGGAGTCATTTTACAGAGATGAATTTAGGCAATTGTAAAGCCACTGCTGTACAGCAGATGTTGGAGACTGCAGGAATCATCCAGGAAGGTGTCTTAGGTAGAGTGAAAATGAAGTGGGCTGAGCAAATGGGAGGAGGGAAAGCAAGAAATGAGAAAGTCTTTCTTGAACAGGGCAGTGTAACAGTACACAACTGATTTGTTGCAGATCAGGATTGCACTCAAGGATTGGCCTGAAGTCCAGAGCTTTCAACGGGATCTGATAGATTCCCAGCATTATGATGCAGCATACATCTTTAGGACACTGCGTCGTGCCAGAGCATTCCATTTCACAGCAATGCCAAAGCTAGTGAGTTATTTTATTAACAACCTACCATTTTTAATAAAATATCTTCAGCGTTTAATGGCTGGCAGTCCAACAGCACTGGTGTTCTTGACACTGTGTTAAGATGTACTGTGCCTTGCTTTATGTAACTGGATACACAACATAAAGCTTAGAGGATGTTTGAATGTACCATGCTTCTCACCTGAAAATCTTTTTTCAGTATCTAATCTTCTTACAATTTGAGATGTCATGTAACTTGTGGAAATGTTGAGTTCCCAAGTTAGAGGGCTGGTTTAAATTCTTGAGTAGGGAATAATTTTTTTTAAAGTGCTGGTTGAGCACTTGGCTGTAAAGATGCATGCTGTTGTTGATGAGATAGTTTTATGCCTTTCATCATCTCTTGATTGTTAGATATGCAGCTAAAACTTTCAAGAGTAGGGGTGGTTTAGGTTGACCATTTAAGTTACAAAACCTTGTCTCCTGCTTTAGCTAAACTACAGAACTAAGAAGAAGATCCAGGAAAATGAATGTAAAGAAGAATTTAAAGATCCAAGTAACAGAGTAAGCAGCCTCATCACGAATGATGTACTGGAGGTACAGTAACTTTAGACTGTGATTAAACTTCTGTTTGTTTGTTTGTTTTTTTCTGTTATTGAAAAAGCTATACATTCTCAAATTAGTTCAAGATAGTTCTTTATGCATTTCTTGTGGAATGCATACTAAGGTGATAGTCTGTCGTAGCAATTTTTTTGAATATTCAGAAACACAGTATTTAACTGGGAGGAACTTTTGTACCTGCTGTTACTGTGTGGTACCTTACCACATGTTCCTATGTTTTCTGGCTTTGCCTCAATATGATGTAAATGGTAAAGGGAAAAATGACCAAGTGACACTTGGGGGGGGAAGAAAAAAAAGGAAAATGATGAGTTGGGAAAAGCAGGTTTCTTTTGTTGTGTCTGTAGATTGCAGCTGGAGGCTGGGTATGGATAATAAGACCTTAATCATTTACAAGGTTATAGCCTTATCTAACCTCTATTTTTCCTTTTAAAACTTGGTTTTCTTAAACGTATAAAATATTTATGTAAAAAAAAAGCCAAAACAAGACAGTGATTCAAGCAGTACATTGTAACTCAGTAGATCCTTGCTTAAAAAAATCCAGTTATCTCTGAAATGTTGGCATGAGAAGGGTGTGAAGTGATTCCTCTGAAGAGATGAAAAAAGGAGACCTCTTTGAGATCTGATCCTTGGTATTACTGAGACTTCCTTCTTAGTTTAAACAACAAAAGATACTCTTCTTTTGCTTATTTGGTGTGCTGATGGGGAAGTGCTAGGTAATATTACTGCTAGGCTCTCTGAAATGGAACTGATATAAATAATCTATTTCTAACACTTCTGCTAATTCAGCGGTGTCCTTAGGTTACATAATCTTGGTTTTCTTCAGTGAGAACTCATATCACTTTACTGCTGTAATCTTTTTCCTGAAAAGTCTCTCTTTTCCTGATTTAGGAACTGATGAATATTCATGAGCACTATCAGAAAATGAAATGTGCCATATCAGCTGACAAATCCCAGCCAGACAAGGCCCTGAGCTTGATAAAAGATGAATTTGTAGTTTCTCTTAAGGACATGGCTTTGGAACATCAGGAATGGCAGCAAAAAAGATTGGTAGGTAATACCAACCACTATGCTGTGGCAATTTAACAGATTATGTGAGAGTGTAAGAACTGGCATAGAGTGGGAATCTCAGTCTAAGAACTGGAACACTGAAGACATGGAGTGAGTAAAACTCAGAGTTATGGTGTGGGGGAAAGGATGGTGACTTGTATGTGATACTGGCTGTATGATAACAGAAATGTTTGCCCTGGAATGTGTGATTTGTGGATGGTATTAGAATAACAGTGCAAAATACCTCTGTAGCAGTTTGTGGTCAAGGAAAGGCTGTAATGTAAGATTAGTGAAGAAAATGGGCATATGTGGTTACTGCTTTGTGAATGACTGACATTTAAAAAATATTCTGTTTTGTGTGTTTTTCAGAAATTGTTACTAAAAGCTAAAGAAGCTGATGAAATGCCAAACAGAGTGGAAGAAGGAACTTCGCTAAGATCAGAAGTAAGAAAAATAGACTTGTTTGCTACATTGCAAAATTTGTTAATTTCTTAACTTTATATCATAGGCGAGGTGGGTTTTTCCTGTCATTCCAGGGCTTGACAGAGTCAAAGTAAGTTCCAGGAATAATTAGCAGAGTTGGGATTTTTATTTTAAATTGCATTGTTTTCTGTTAACCTTTGAGCAGTCATTGCTGTGACAGTTCTGGGATGCTTGTAGTAAAAAGATACAGCCCCTTTCGGGTAAGGAAGGGAAAGAGCTGTATTTTCTTGGCCAAACACCTTTGTGATTCCTCCCAGAGTTTCACCTAAATGCAATAACCACTTTTTAATGCTATGAAATTCTCTTGTATTGTACTTGCCTGCTTGTTTCAACTGTGAATTTGATTAAGAAGTGAAGTTTCAAATTTTATTTTCTGTTCCTGAGCTGGAACCGAAGGCAACCAAATTAAACTTTACATTCTGAATGGAACTTCATTTAAAAAACAATTTGTCACCATTTATTATGGAATTACAGCAATAATGAAATACTGCTGAAGTCTAGTTTAAGAGTTCATTTTAATGTTACTGTAATAGAAAATGAAACCTATTCCTGAGTAATCCTTTTGTTTCTTTGCAGGGTTCTGAAAGAGCAGATGCTTTGGCTAGAATCAAACACAAGTCTTATTCTGCAGTTGTTGAGGTAGGTATAAAATTTGATGGTAGGGATGTAGTTATTTTAAATGATAATTTAAAGTACTAACAATGTAAACAATTGATCAGAAAGGAAGGAGTTAAAATTGCACTCTGTAATTCAGCTTTTGAATGTTCTGGTTTCCATATCTAACACATAGGGAAAATGTGAGGCTCTTATTATTCTTGTTAGATTTATGGAAGCAATGCCAGTATGGTCTGTGCCTGGAGGTTTTCATTTACAAGGTATCTTTTCATGTCAGTACTCTTTTTTTAATAGATGGAATTTTAAGTAAATGGAATTAAGAAGCACTTGAGTTTAATGGTTCCTTGAGGCTCAGATGTGTGAAGCTGTGAAGATCCTTGTGAAAATGGAACCTGGGGGTTTAAAGCTTGGAAATTTTTGGAACATTGTTTCTCTAAGTAGTACTCGAAAAATATTATTGAACTATCTTTCTTATGGCAGACCTATGATAAACATTGCATCATTCTTTGTTTATTTAAATTGTTTAGTGGAGAATTCATTATGAAATGAAACTGAGCTCTGGAATGTACAGCAGTTCAGACTTATGAATGAAATACTAAGTGACACACAGTAGCACACAGCTACAGCAGTTTAACTTTTTTTTTCATAATTTTTACATACACTTACCTTCTAGGCCTCCAAATCCAGAAGACATCGTCAAGTAATACTAGAATCTTCTGAATCAGGATTGGATTATGGGAAATCTCCAAAACGAAGTAAAAAAAGCAGTAGGAGACCACAGCCAGCAGAGAAAAGAGGTTCTCTAGAAATCAGAGTTTTTTTTCCATTGCATTTAATGAGGAAATTCTTTACTGTAAGGATGGTGAGATATTGGAACAGGTTGCACAGAGATGTTGTGGATACCCCCTGCCTGGAAGCATTCAAGGCCAGGCTGGATGGGGGTGTGAGATACCTGGTCTAGAGGGAGGTGTCCCTGCCTATAGCAAGGGGCTGGAACTGGATGATCCACAACCTTTGACTGGAAAGTCAATACAGATACAAGAGAACAGTCTTCTAAGTACTGAAGCTAAGATACGGAAGTGAAAAAAACAAACTAATAATAATAAAAGAAAAAAAACAAAACCCAAAGCTGACTTTTTCTCCTAAAAAATCTGTCTGCAGGTCAGATGCAAGCAGAAAAGGAAACTGTTACTCGCCATATCGGGATGCCTGTAATCACAGAAGAAGATAGCTCAGATACAGAAGGTACCATGATTGAAATTCTAAGAGACTGTAAACTTGTTTTGTTAATTGCTATGTACTATGCTGTATTTTTTTTAAAAACTAAAGTTGGTGTCTCAGACCAAAAGCTTTGCTTTGCTTTCTTGCAAAAACTGGGTTAGTTTTCATCCTGTAAATTGTTACGTCAAAACCGAAGCTTTGCTCTGATAGTTTGTTGCAAGCAAACATGATGGCAAAATCCTGGGAGTCATGTTTATTGTACATAAAATTATTTCCATTGGCAGTTCATTGATAGTCTGATGGATCCTGCTTACAAAGAGGAAGGCAGACTTAAGAGCTCGACCAGAGATACTTGCTGTTAGCCTGAAAGAATGGGATTTAATTAGATTTTTTAAAGGGACACAAGGGAATAAGTGCAACTTCTGTAAAGGTCTGACAGCATAGATGACTGTGAGGAAAACATATTTTGGAGTTAACTTAATCAAAAACTGTATGTAACAAAAGATTATTTTCATACAAGAGAGAATAATAACAAAATACATTAATTGCAAAGTAGTACATCCTCTGATCATCACAGTTAGCTGTAGACAATTTGAATTCATTTAACTTTTAGACAGGTTGAAGGCACAGTGGTGTATTTAATGTTGTACTTGATGTTATTTGTTCCTCCTCCAAGTTGTCATGATGTTTTGTCTCTAAGTCAGGGATGTTCTTCAGTTCTTTGAATAGTTTTACAAGATTTGAAGCATTAGAAAATACCCATAAGCAAACTTATGTGTAACTTTGCAAGTGTTCCATATTAAAGATGTTTATGAGGAGCAGAAAGCTCTCAAAGTTGACTATGTTTGAAAGGACAGTACTTTGTTAATCGATGGGATTTTATTTAATATTTTGGATGATAATATGCCATAGAATCTAGAAAGATTTTTTTTCATATTTAAAGTCATGAAGAGAGGGATTCCTGAGGGAATCTCAGGAACTCATCTAGATCATTTGTTGTTAGGCAGAATTAATTCTACTTTAATTATTCCCAGGAGGGAAGATAGATTGAAAAGTTTGTCAGAAAAATCTCTTCATTTCCTTTCAGAAGTACCTATCTCCAGGAGGAGAAGACGACGTTAGGATCCAGTTGGAGAACACTGATGTGAATTGTAATGACAAAGTGTAAATGTCAGATGTAACACAGAGTGCTTGTCTGGATTCCTTTGGATGTTCAACAGGAACTGGCTGGGACCAGAGCTACAGGTGACACTGGAATACTGGTGCTGACTGCTGTACTTTAGCAGTCTCATGGTATGGCACCTGGTGCCTTTATTCACCTGGCTGATGATTCCTGTGAGGAAGAAGTTGCTATGCACTGTGTGAGATGAGAAGAGAGAGAAGATGGTTCCTTCTTGTATTTAGTTTGTTCCAAGTAATGAGTTGGAACTCATGTTGACTTGCAATGACTTTTTAGCAGACATCTTGAAAGAACAGCTCACAAAATACTTGCCTGTATTTGTGCAATAAATTATTTCTCACTGTTTACTTGCTACGTTTTATAGCATGCAAATTCAGCAATATTTATCAAGGTTCCTATAGGTGTGGGAAATGAACTAGGTGATCAGCCTTTTACTGTATTCAGTCTCCAACAGATCTGGCTTTGTTGTATATTTGAATGAGGAAATACAGTGTGTGTTTACTGATTTTTTTATTGCAGGTGACACCAAGCTGTACGAGGGCAGGAGTAGAATTCTAAATGATCTTTATCAATTGGAGCAGCGATGTGGAAAGAAGTAGGAATGGAAATAAACATGAAGCTTAGCACTAGGAAAAGGTACAGAGTGGGGAAACAATTGCTAGGCAACAGTACTGCAGGAAAAGCAAAAAGACTGAGAATCATAAGCTGGAGTATTTTCTGTAAACAGTAACATCCTCTAGTATTTGTGTCACCATTCAGGCCTGTAAGGCCACAGGCTTAAATACTCTCTTATGACCACTGATTATTAAAAAAAAAAAACAAAGTGGGTAATTATTCTCTTTGGTATTTTCTCCAGTTGAACACAGCTGCAAAAAAAACACAACCTGTCAAGAAAGGCCAAAGAGTTTGAGCTGTCCTTTACTGCAGAAATAAATAGGGTACAAAAGATGGATAGCGTGGAAGGTATTTCAGAGCCCAAAGGAATGAAAGTGCCTTTACCTAGATGAAGGAACTCTTAAGTGAAAAGATAAAGGGTTGGAATATAAAAAGGGCAGGTATTGAATGCATTAGTTGGTAAGGAGGAGCAGGCCTAAGAGACAAACGTTGGACACTGGAAAAATTAATAATTAAGCACCAGTATTGCACTCAAACCCTCATTTACGGATAACAAGGAAGCGCTTTATTAAAAAGCCAAAAATGTAATTGACTGAAGAATGGTATTCATACCATAGAATCACCATTTGTATAGCAAAGCTAAAGGATCCTCTGTGTGGGCATTTGAACGTGGTTTGCAAGTGTAATGGGGGTGACAATTAGCATTAGGTGGAATGGTTGGTGGCCCTGCATATGGCAGGGGGGTTGGAGATTCATGATCCTTCAGGTCCCTTCCAACCCTGGCAATTCTGTGATTCTGTGACTCTGTGACAAGAAGCAGGCTGTACTTTGAAATGCTCAGGTGCCGTCAGTTTAGAAGCACTTTAAGTGGAAGACATTTCACACTATAATTTTAATTGCAGTGGAAAAATCAGCAAGGCCCAACCAAGTGAAGGTAGGTGCAAAAGGTATTGTGTGCAGCGTGGGGAGTATGCGAACATCATCTGTAGAAGAATCCTAACAACAACAACAAAGTAAAAAAAAACAAAACAATTAGACTCTATGCAAGTTTAGCGTGGCAAAGATTTGAGAGTGATTGCAAGAATCTTCGTAGCTCTGTAATGTGTACGTAGAGCCTTCCAGGTCACAGCAGTGTGAAGAAAGGAGCGCTAAGGTTGGAAAAGCTCCAACCTGCTGCGCACAGCCTGCTGCGTTCTCCACGCACCTCCGCCGTGTCGGGAGGTCCCGGGGCACCTCGAGGCGTTGGGAGTCGCGCAGCATTTTGGGAGAGACGGGTTGAAACTGACAACCGTCCCCAACTGCCGTTGTCTGAGTTCCGTTGCGCGGCCCGGGGCTGCGGGCGGTGGTGATGGGGCCGGGCTGGTACAGAGCCCCGCTCCTGCGGAACGCCGCGCCGCCTCCAGCCCTCACGGCTCCGTGCGCCGAGAAGGCGGCGGGGCCGGGACCCCCTCCGCGCGGCCCGGGGGCTCCCCCCGCGGCGAGGCGGGCGGCGGGGAGGTGCCGTGCGGGTCGGTCAGCGCGTCCCCTCCCCGGTCCGAGCTCCGAGTCCCCGGCCGCCGCCGTCGGGAAGTCGGGCCGCGCCGCTGCGGCCGTGGCGACGGACGGTGAGTGCGAGCCGGCGGCGCCCGGAGCGGGGCGGCGGTTGGTCCCCAACCCCGGCCGGGGACTTGACCGAAGGCGGGGGGGGTCGGTGCGGTCTCTGCCGCGGGGCGGGGCGGGCAGGTAGGAGCGCGGGGATACGGGTGTGGAGGGAGAGAAGCCGCGTAACGACGCGCGCTTTGACAAGCACGGACAAAGAGCGGTGGCCTTGTGGTTACGGGAGGCTTGGCTGCGTCCGTGCGCTTCCAGGCACGGCGGGGCTGCTGGCGTTCTGGCCGCGCTGATGCGAAGGTAATCGCCTGCCGTGCCACGATCGATTCCTCCGCTCCGTCCCCGCCCGGCGTGAACCCGGGCTGCGGTACAGCCCGGCTGCAGGAGGGCAGGCGTTGCCGCTCACACCTCGTTGCGCAGCTCCCCCCGCTTACAGCCCGGCTCCGCGCTGTTACCGAGCGCCCGGGGATCTCTCTGTAGCTTTCCCCAGCTTGTTGGAGGACAGATAGACCCGGTAGCCTTGAAAGATGTCAGGATGGCACGCCACGGTTCATAAGCTTGCAATAACAAAATCCCAAGCTTGAGCTCTTCATAAGGATTGGGCTTAGTGGGGGAGAATAATTTCTCTCTTCCTTTTGTCATACAGTGATGCTCACCTGTGTTTGCTGTACCACACTGTCTTTCAAAACTGTGCCCCAAAGGGGAGGTGACCTTGGACAAGGCCCAGACCGACATGATGTGGACGTGGCCTTTGGAGTTCTCCTCCTGTGAACGTGAGTAGATGGAACTAAGAGGCCCACAGAGAGTGAAACAGTTGCTTGTGGTGCTGTACGTGACCTCCTCACAAGCCTGACTAACACCAGAGGTGGAGTTCAAGCATTGTTAGCCTGAAGACAGGTGTGTTGCCTTTTGGTTCAGCTGCTGAGGGTTTGGTGTTGATCATCATTTTCAGCCTTCTTTTAGCAAAGGTTTGCTTTGCAGAGTAGGAAGCATTTATGCTCTGCTGGATGCTTGTTTAGCCTGGAGAAAAAAAGGCTGCAGGGTGACCTCATTGCAGCCTTTCTGTACCTAAAGGGAGCCTACAAACAGGAGGGGAATCAACTCTTTGAAAGGGTTGATAACTGCAGGATGAGGGGAAATGGTTTTAAGTTGAGGGAGGGGAGATTTAGGTTGGATGTCAGGGGGAAGTTCTTTGCTTTGAGAATGGTGAGGTGCTGGAACAGCTGCCCAGAGAGGTTGTGGATGCCCCATCTCTGGAAGCGTTCAAGGCCTGATTGGACAGCCTGGTCTGGTATTAAATGGGGAGGTTGGTGGCCCTGCGTGTGGCAGGGGAGTTGGAGATTCATGATCCTTGAGGTCCCTTCCAACCCTGGCTGTTCCGTGATTCTGTGTTCCTTGTAGTTCCTGCTGTGCACTGCTGTCTTGTGGCTGCTTTTCCTCTCACTGGTGCTGCAGCAAGACCAAACTAAGAAGCCCTGCTAAACTCATCTGATTTGGTCCGGAACAACTGGAATATTTTGCACTGCTTGCCGTTTTCTGCTTGTTTTGTGTGCCAGGTCAGACCTGGCAGAAGTGCCTTTATTTCTCACCAGTTCGTATCTCAGCCTTAGTGGTCCCTCCTGTGGAGCTATGCTCTGAGCTGTACTGCTTTCAAAGCTCTCCATGTGCTTTGTGTTCATTAGGTTTCTTGGTGGTTTGCAATATTTAATCTTGGTAAGCATATCTAGCAGTTAATTCCTTATCTCCATGACAGTTAGTAAACGTTTTGATTGAGGAATAATACCTTGAGCACAAAAGACCTGAGGAGTGTTTGATGTTAGGGTGCATTTCCTGGACTTGGTGAGATGGTGTACTTGTATTAAATTCCATCTGGATATAAACTATGATTTTTTGTGTGTGTGTGTGGTCAAAGGTGCATTGTTCTGTTCAGCTTTCTGTCATCTGACAGATGCCAACCCTGCCTGTACTTGCATGGAGCAGTGGTACCGTTGGTGGATCACAGGGTTTGTGTTGTTCAGGGAACCTGGGGAGGAGTAGGGATATCCTGTAGCTTAGGTGGTGTCAGTTTCTGTCCTTGAATCAGAGCTGTTCTTCAGAGAAAGGCATAATAGCCAGAGTGCCTCTCTTCCCTTGTGATTCTGGGCAGCCAGAAGAGGTGGCGGTGATGACTTGTGGTGATCTGGAGTTATGTGTCTGAGCAGTCTGCTCTGATTTTTATTGTTAAATAATTCATTGTTCCTACTGGCTGAGGGATCAGAAAAGAAGCAAATTTGGTCTCCAGAAGCTTTGGCTTCAACCCAATTTGAAATGAGTGCAGCTTAGACATAGTTCAGGTCGGTGTTGGAGTGAGCCAAATGCTGCATATCACTTAAATACACTTTAATGGTAATAAATATTGTCTCCTCACAGTAGTAAGTGTGCATCAGGTGTTTCTAAATGAAAATTTTACCAAGAAAATATACTGAAAAGATGAGTTAAATGGACACACAGGTCACTTTTCAGAGTAGAATCACAGAATCATTGAAGTTGGAAAAGATATTTAAGATCACCAACCACCAACCCATCACCACCATGCTCACTAAACCACATCCCACAGTGCCACATCTGCACGTTTCTTTGAACACCTCCAGGGACAGTGACTCCAGTTTGAAAGTTGGTTTCACTGCAGGTGGATCTTGTTTTTCCTGACTGGGGACCTGTGATGTATAGAGAAACTAACAGTATTATGGGGATGTCCGTGTTTCCTGCTGTGAGTCAGTAATACTGGGACTTAACCACGCTTAACCTGTGCAGGTTGTCTATAATCCACCTGAAGGCAACTTCACTCTGTTAAAGCTTTTAATTAAACACTGTGTGTTTGTGCCACTTCATGTATATGGGATTCAGTTACTCTGCCTGGGATCTTACTACTGCTTACTACTAGGTGTAGGTTTGGTATAACATTCTAGAGGAGGGCACTCCCATTCGCATGGCTTTCAAGATCTTTGTTAACATGCTTAGAAAATACAGGCATGTATTTCATGGTTCTTTGAAGAAATAGATGGATTAACTTGTAACAACAATTCAGGGATTGGTTGATCAGTTTGCTTTGTCTGGGTGGCATGTCGATGTGTGTCTTGAGTTTTTATGGTGCTGTTAGG